AACAACAATACGAAAAGAAAATTACATCTTTATTAAAGAAGCGAAGCATTACTCGACAACCTTCAAGTAGATTCAACAATCAAATATGAAAGCTTATGTTTCGTTTTATCAAAATATAAGTAATTCTGTATTGTGTATGTTTATTATAAAAACTGAAAACATAATCTTTTGACGATACTTTTTGAATGTGTAAGTGTAATACAGTTGACACGTCGACTGGAAACCTTAATTTTTTAACATAAATGTGATGTATGGGTCCCTTAAATTCCATCAAAATGGCTTAATTGTTTCAGATGTAGGGTATTTGGACATTTACCATGGAACTCTCTTATTGTACAAATATAAATATTTTGGATACATATATATAATGCTTTTCATTTTTTTTTTACAAAAAAGCTCGGCTTATTTCTTGACTCTTGTTCTAATGGTGTGTTAATACATGCATGGGATGTGAACTGGTGAATTTCAGAATACTGGTAGGTAAATTTCTCTGAACGTATATTATTATAAAATTCTAAAAGTTGAAATTATAAGAAAATAGGTTTATAGCTTTAAAATGTATAATAATTCGGTATGTTTCCTAAGATATATATTCCTAAATTAATAACACGTCGAAATTCGTTAAGTTTATTCACAAATTACTGTGCGTCAAAAAAGAAAAATAGTTATAAGAAGCTATTTTGAGTTGATTTAATTTGTCACTGGAGTAGAATTTGAAATTATGGATGCTTTTTGAAACTCGGTCGGAATTTTTTAATTAAGTCCTGTTTGCAACGGAGCTAATTACTTGAACATAGAAGAGCGAACATAAAGCTGTTGACATGGCAAGTGCAACATGCCAGAATGTTTGTAATGTTTTCGTTATCATAAAATATCTCTACTTCAAACAAGTTTAATGTCTGCACAAAAACCAACATTCTTAAAAAAAAAAAAAAACTGAAAAAATATTAAAACTACACAATAGTTGAAATATCATATGCAATCCATGCCTTATAAATTCATTTTTAACACGTCTTACCATTTAATTTATGTGTTGACATGATTAGTATCAATGATAAAGCTTATTTTTTCTTCACCAATTTGTGCTCGTAGGCAAAATTACTGATTAACATATGTAAATTTAATTATTCTTCAAAGAAAAATCCGCTAAAAAATTCTCCATCGCCCATCAAAGAGTGTAAAAAAATATTTTATCAATTGTTACCTATTATGCAGGGTAGGGTAGGAAAACAATATTTTCATATAACATACATGCAAACTTCGTAGTATAATGACCAATCATTTTCTTAGAAGAGGACATGAGTACCATTATTTAACTTTCGATTTCAAATTCCGCGTATGAGATAAAAATTATCTTGCCATAGTCATATTTACACACCCAACTTTTAAATTTTATCCGACCAAAATTACTAGTAAAATAAATTGTAAAAAATGTATTACTGGATATGATCTGTTTGAGGCAGTGAGATACAGAATATGCTAGTAGGCACTACTGGATGTCGTGATGACAAATTAACACTATTTTGTAGAAGTTAACATTATTTACTTTCTGTAATAATAGCTTAGGAAAAATGCTAGACACAAAATGTGTATGGTTTTGGTAATCCGTCAAGCGCTGGTTAGTGACTTAACGTTTCAGCAAACCGTTGTAACAATTATACATATTATAAACATTACTTATTTAACTCAACGTGAGAATCTAAAGTCACATCACACTAAACAATGATAGGTGTTCGACGATTGATTCGATAGAGGAAGTCTAGTCAATTGTGTTCCAAGTACAATAGTGTCCCGTGGAGCTGGAGCTACCAGTGAACAGTATGTGAAGTAGTATAGCTGTGTAGCTGAGTAGAGGAGTGAACATGGGATGTTCCGAGTCTAAACTTCATCCTAGAAATGTAAGTAAGTCAATGCAAAATGTTCTAAAATAATGTGGAGTAGTCAATTATAGTTCGTATTGGCCAGTGACAAAATATTCATATAAACTAGGAACTTTATGAAAAGACATTATTAAGTTTGTCTTCAATAGATTAGGTGTATTGTTATTGAGGCTTTAATCGATTAATATCATAATTAAGTGAAGTTAAAAGATCTATCTAAAATTCTAGGAGAAATTTATATCAGTAAATGCAATTTTTGACGATTTTTAAAAAACATAATATCTATAGAATACTATATTCTGTACGATATGAGCTGTCGTTAAAACATAGTAATTATTGTATTATGACGAGACTAATTTCCTATGTAAGATACTCAATGTGAATGTAGTTACAAAGCATTTACTCAATAACATTGAAAAAACCTAAAACCATTTTATGATATTGCTGTTCTTATTAGGTACTCCCAAAGTGGAATACAGAGATAACAAATAAATTGAGGAGAATTGTAATCCTTAAAAGTAGGGTATTTACTTACAAAGATTTTGTTTATTTTCTTTTGAACTGTTTATAAAATGTTAGATAAGCAACATTGAAATCTACATAAAAAAAGAGAATGAAGCAGACACGTTTTATAAACTAAAGCGTGTTCATTTAGCATCATGCTTTTGAAACTAGCTTTGCAGACTCTGGGAGACGGACTCGGTGAAATATCTTTATAATTTAGATACGATTATACGACTTCCATTTTAACTGATGTAGCCGAGCATCCTTGATGCAAAGTGAATTTGCATACAAATTACTATTTGATTTTACTAAAAGAATTGACTATTTCCTATACATGAGTACACATCCTTCAAAAAAAAAAAAACAAAAAAAAAACAAAGTATTAAGTTCAAGAAAATCTGGTATCGGGCTCAACAGTTAATACAAACATGAGTCTAAAATTCGTTTTGTGACCAAAACCGTTTTTTTATTCAAGGACTGTAGGCACATCATTTAACAAACATATTTTATCGATTAAAACTATTACAATCATTAAAGATGTTTTCAACGCAACCCAAATAATTACAACTACCGACAGACACGTTGAACAACAACAAAAGCTCATGTGATGGTAGGCCTATCCTTGTTTTCTTTATTTTATTACCAATTACCTTAGATGCATCGTTCAAGTTATATATGAGTTTTAGTTATTGATCATTGATTTAAAATAAGACGTAATATGTTTTTTTGCATGCATGAATAGGGCTTGTGAAAACACCATACTGAGACTTATTCACAATACATTCATAATAACACTAACGCTCTTAGATAACTATGCAACAATTAATATCAGCTGATTGGCAATGAAATAAAAACTTCTGAAATGTGTTCTTTTTTATCGTTTCACAGTGTCTTATAGTACCTGTAATTTGAATTGCGTTAAAAATACACTGTATAATAACTCCGTAGGTTCTTGGTAACTATATTCACTATAATTTCCCTCCTGGGGGGTAAACTTCGATATGGTGCGGACTGTATAAAAAATGAGGGATGTGAGATATATTATGTTAAGATCAGCTTTAGAGACACACTGTGAGCACAAAATAATAAACTTTTAAATAGGAAGAAATGTGATTTGGTACCTTCCTTTTTACTGAAGTGATGTCTAGTAGACCGTTGACGCACTTGATGTTTGCTGGCCAGCTTTCGCGTACGCGACCGGTAGTTGCACCAAGAACAGTTTGAATACAGTTTTTAACTATTCAGTTCACTTTTTTGTTAGGTGTGTCACAAATAAATACATAAGATAAACATACGATAATATAAGTTCAATTTATATGCCACAAATAGAGTAGGGGAATATTATAATACAAAACTAGGGAAAATGGCGAGAACATGATGCCGGGTTGAAGAGTACATGAGGAATGGGGGGAATTGCCAGACATCACGTGACAGGGCAAGGGTCAGAACAAAATATGAATGAAGTCTGGATTCACCTAGGTTGCGTAGATGCTTGAATACGGAACATGCCGCCCGCCTTGAACCATACATGGTTCAACAGATTCATAAATTGATTCATTGACTCATAAATGGGCACAAGTAATACAATGTAGATATATATACACAATAGATAATGATGACACACCTAATTATAAGATATGATATATATGATAATTATAAATATAAATAAACATGAAATAGGACATTGAATAGAAATATTTTGTGATTAGGGGAGCGGGTACACCTTGGTAGCAGGGCGACAGAAGATTCCTCTCGAAGTCTTGATGGAGACAACTCGAACGATGCCATCTGCTCCAGGTGATGTCTTCACAATGCGACCAAGAGGCCAGAGAAGTGGTGGTGTTTTTGGGTCATGGATAATGACTAAATCGCCTACTTCAAGATTCTTGTTTGGCTTTATCCACTTTTTCCTTTGTTGAAGCTGGTGCAAATACTCTTGGTGCCACCTTCTCCAGAAGCGTTGATGTAGAGCCTGAACTGTTTGCCAATGCTTTAGTCGATTGTCAGGAATATCGGATACATTTACTTCAGGTACTGCAACAAGAGATGTCCCGATGAGAAAATGACCTGGGGTGAGTGCTGTGATGTCAGATGGATCTGCTGATAGAGCTGTTAGTGGACGAGAGTTCAATACTGCTTCCACCTGCGTGACAAGAGTTATCAGCTCCATTAGTGTTAGAATTTGATCTCCAATTACTCTCTTGAGATGGTACTTTGAGCTCTTTATGGCACTCTCCCAAAGGCCTCCTTGGTGAGGCGCGGCTGGTGGTTGGAAATGAAAATTAATTGAATGATCGAGGGCGAAGTTAGTGAGAGCATCTTGAGTATTCCTTTCATCAATGAAATTCTGGAAGGTCTTATTCAGTTGCTTGGAGGCACCGACATAGTTCGTTCCACAATCAGAGTATAGGTGAGCACAAAGTCCACGACGAGAAACAAATCTTTTAAGAGCAGCAATGAATGAGTCCACTGAGAGATCAGTTACAACTTCCAAGTGCACCGCTTTTGTGGTAAAGCAAACAAATAGGCAGAGGTATGACTTAAGCTTTTGAGAATTCCTAGTGGTGTGTACTTTCACTTCAAAGTGACCGCTATAATCCATGCCAGTATGATAGAATGGTCTTACAGGCCGTAGTCGAGTTTCGGGTAAGTCTCCCATAAGTGGAGGTTGATTTGTAGGTTTCAACTTAAAACATCTTTGACATTTAAAGATTACAGATCTGATTACACTACGAGCAGATAATATCCATACTTCTTGAGTGAGGATCGATTGCAGCAACTGAGGGCCTGCGTGTAAATATTTGAGATGATAGTGCATGACCAACAGTTTTACAACATTATGAGATTTAGGTAACAGGATTGGGTATTTGGCATCTTGAGTAAGGTTTGAATGTTTCAACCTACCGCCTACTCTTACCAAACCGTTATCGTCAATGTAAGGTGATAACCGAGCCAGTCTTAAGCTGCACTGAGTGCCCTTTTTCAGAGCTGTGATGTCATCCTTGAAAGATGAAATTTGAATGAGTTTGAAGAGATTCATTTTAGCAGAAGAGATCTCTTTATAACTAAGTTGTCCAGCTAGTCGGGCGTTCCCACAAATATTATGGATGAATCGTAGAACATAAGCAGTGACATTTACAAGTTTTCTAAAGCATGAGAATTTTTCAAGTAAATCAAATCTGTAATTTTCTAACTTTTCAACGTTAACTAGGACATTCAAGGGATTTGGTTTGACTTCAAGAGTGTCTTGATCAGTGATTAAACTGAATTCGGGCTTTGGCCAAAGATCTGATGACAAGTATAACCATTCAGGTCCCTTCCACCACAATTGGTGGCTTAAGAGTTGAGATGGGGAGAGTCCTCGGGTTGCACAATCTGCTGGGTTGTCTAGGGACTTGACGTAATGCCATGATTCAGGAGAAATTAATTCTTGTAGTTCTGAGACACGGTTGGCCACATAAACTTTTAAGCGATAGGGGTGAGTGCGTATCCATGTAAGAACAATGGTAGAGTCACACCATGCATACATCGAGTCAATCTTAATGTGGGACGAAAGAAGATTTGAACAGTATTGCAGGAGCTTTCCAAGTAGGTGAGCACCGCACAGTTCGAGACGAGGCAGAGATACTCTTTTTAGTGGGGCGACTTTAGATTTGGCCATTATCAGATTAATTTTAACATCATTCGATAAGTTGATCACACGGAGGTAGACTACTGCAGCATATCCTTTCTCCGAAGCATCGCTGAAACCATGAAGTTCTGCAAGCTTATGAGTTGAGGTAAAGATGTAACGTGGGATCCTTAGGTTTTGGATCACGGGTAGTTCTTCTAAAAAGGAAATCCATTTTGTTCTTATCTCATCTTGAATTGGATCATCCCATTTTAGACCTGTGGTCCAAAGATATTGAATGAGTGTTTTAGCCCAAAATATTACAGGTGTGAGAAATCCTGGGAGATCATAGAGTTTAGCGATTGTTGAGAGAATCATTCTCTTGGTTAGCAAGTGGCCTACTTCAACATTCTTTACTTTGTATGAGAGCATGTCTGTCTCTGGGGTCCATCTTAAACCCAATACACTGTAGAAGGCCTCACTACCATCAGTCAACTCCACTGGTGATTCTTTGTGTTCGACTGGAATCTGATCCAAGAGTTGGGGTGCATTACTGATCCACTTACGGAGTTCAAAACCGCCTTTAGACAGCAATGTTTTCAGTTCATTTTGAGCTGACATAGCTTTATCGAGATCTTCAGCTCCAGCTATAATATCATCATAGAAGATAGACTTGGTCAAGATATCAGAAGCTTGTGGGTATGGTTGACCTTCGTCCAAAACTAGCTGGTGCAAGGTTTTGATTGCAATAAAAGGGGAACAATTAAGCCCATATGTAACTGTATTGAGTTTGTACGTTTGGAGTGGATCATCTGGACTAGCACGCCAGTATATCATTTGATAACTTTTGTCCTTATCAGAAACCAAGATCTGACGATACATTTGACGTATGTCACAGGTGAATACAATTTTATGACATCTAAAATACAATAAAACATCACTGATATCATTTTGAAGTTTGGGACCAGGCATGAGAATGTCGTTCAATGATATGCCATTAGTAGTTTTAGCGCTGCCGTCAAAAACAACACGTATTTTTGAATTCGGGGGATTCTCCTTGAAGACACCGTGGTGAGGCAAATAATAGTATTCAGAGGTGGGAGGTTCTTTACAAATAGTCATATGACCTGATTCAATGTAGTCATCCATAAATTCAGAATAGAGCCTTTGTAACTCGGGTTGATTAGAGAATTTCCTTTCCATCGAGCTAAGTCTCAATTGTGCTTTGGTACAAGATTCACCAAGAGGGGAATGATTTGGTTTCTTGGGCAGCTCGATTATGTAACGACCTGAGTCATCACGTCTATGGGTGTTTTCAAAATGTTGTAAACAGAGGGTATCTTCCTCAGTCTGAGCCTTGATCCGTATTGGGGGTTCTTCTAGCGTCCAGAATTTTTGAAGTGAATTATGAAGGTCCAAATCATGAGTTGTCAAGAGTGAGATGGGAAATGTGTTTGATGAGTTTCCTGCTACAGAGGCTACAGGAGCGAGGCCCATCACAACAAAACCAAAAATGGTTCCAAGAGCTTGAGGTAAATTTTGTCCTAATCTATGCTGTTCGCCTGTGAGGGTTAGGGCAAATAAGTCTGCACCGATAAGTAAATCTATCTCTCCAGGCTGATCGAAACAGGGATCGGCTAGGATAAAATGTTTCAAAGATTCCTTAACCTGGTGTGAAACTGGTATCTGAGGCAGGGGTGATGTGATACTACTCAAAACCATACAAGGATGGTTTTTAGCCAAAGGATTTCCATTGATCGCAGACATGTTGACATGTACGATACCTCTAGAATTAATAACTGCACCAGAGATTCCTTTTATTTCATCATGGAGTCGAGTACGTGGGGCGTTGATGAGTTGAATAGCTTTCTCTGATATAAGGGTAAGTTGGGCAGCGGAGTCGAGCACAGCACGGAGTACAGTATGTTGACCATGTTGTGAAGAGACATGAACTAAACATGTACCAAGAAGGATTGTGGTTTTAGTTGGATTGAGTTGACTAGACAATCCTACAAAAGCGTTAACGTTTGTAGAAGCAGTAGGATTAATAGTTGTTGTATTCTTTGAAGATGAATTAGGTGTGTAGGTCTTATTTTGAGGAGACAGCTTAGTTTGATAGCTTGACTGTGCCTGAAGTGAACTACGTGTGGGCTCATGCAATAGAGTATGGTGATGTTTGGAACAAATCTGACACACTTTACTTGAGGGGCAGTTGAGTGTGTTATGAAGATAACCGAGGCAGTTTGTACAAATCCTATTCTTGCGAATAAACTCAGATCTTTCACTCACACTTCTAGCTAGGAAAGCTTGACACTTGTATATGTTGTGATCTGCAGCTTGACAAAATCTACAAGAGTTGGTTGTGGCGACAAGAGCAGTTTTTGTATGGTTGGTGAAATGTGGCTTACTTTCACGCGTAAACTTATTAGGCCTAGTTATGTTTGTAGGACACTTTAGGCCAGTGGAATACTTTGAGGTAGATGGTGAACTGAGACAAATACTAGCACCTTCTAAACGTTTGAATTCCATTTCAAGAAAGGTCATTAAATCATTAACAAGAGGGATCTCATTGTTTAAGGCGCGAGAGTCTTCAAAAGATTTTCTAATATCAGCTGGGATCTTCTTTAAAAGTGTTAAGACTAACAGGGTGTTTTCAGTTGTAATGTCATGATTTAAGTTTTTCAAGGCTTGAGTATTTTCCTTATATACAGTGAGAAATGATTGTAAGCTCTTAAGCGAACCACTAGTAATGGGCGACAAATCCAGAATTTTTGTAACAAGCTGAGTGACAATACGTCTCTTGTTTTCATAGCGATCCTTGAGAAGTCGAAGGGCTACCACATAGTTTTCAGGAGTAATATTAAGACTCTTAACCAAGTCTAAGGGCTCACCACTCAGGGCACTAAGCAAATACTGAAACTTATTCACTGGGGAGACAGAATTATTCGCATTGACAGAGGCTTCAAAAATATTATAGAAACTAACCCACTCTTCATAGTTACCACTAAATTTAGGCAACTCAAATTTAGGCAGGCGCAGAGAAGCTGGAGGTGGAGTAGGTGTTACAACAGGTTCAACTGGCAAAAGAACTTTAATGTCACTTATAAGGGCTACATACAAGTCAGAAAGTTCATCATGCATTGAAAATGATTCCTCCTCATCACAATCAGAAGCAGGGTCATCAGTCACAACTCTATTAAATAAAGTTTTAAAGTCAGTAAATAGATCTCTGACCTCCTCATTATAATTGTGTAAACGCTGTATATTAGCAGGAGTCAATTCTTGACCTTCAGTTCGAGGAAGTTGGTTTGACAAATATTTATTTATTTTCTGAAACCTGTTTTTAACAAGTTTTGCTTTTCTTTGTAGGGTAGTGAATCTCATCATGAACAAACAAATTAAATAACACACAACAAGAATAGATGAGTTTTCATAAAATAGCCCAATATCTTAAATTAATAATGATCTCATAAATCTAGGCCTACTGAAGTGAATAAATCAATTTGCAATTCAACTTCAATAGTAAAGTGAAGTAAATTATCAATTTGTTATTATCACCAATAATCTCTGTTGACAATAATATTTACAATAATGAATAAAGAGAGTATAGCAATAACAATAATTACCAGTTTTCTCCAGTTCAGGACCCTTATCAATTAGTATTTGATTAAATAAATAATGTCTTCATTTTTCAACAACATAAACAAACTTGCAGGTTATGTTGATATGTTTCAATTCAATATCGGGTTATATTTAAACAAACAGCTGATGTAGATGAACAGAGTTTTGATGAGTTGAGTTTTCAGTTTAATAGCAGACAGGTGATTGGTTCGTCCTCAGTTCCACCGTTTCACTAATCTTGCAGGTTATTGGTTGCCATGTAGCGCAGAGCGATCTGTTGGCGAAGTTGAGAACTACCAACTACCAAGGTGTATCGCAAAGGACAGAACGTTGTTGCAAAATGGCGGACAATGGGATAGAATATTTCAGGGAAATAACTACTAACTAACTTTGCAGTTTTATTTATAAACCCAAATAATAAGACTGAATTGATTGTGAGACCTTATTATTTAAAAGGATTTTATGGATGAGATGTGAATAAATATTCAATCCTACAAATTTTCTACGCTTGATTTATTTCAAGACAAACTAGGTAGGCCTAACTTGACGTGATTTAGGTGGCAGTGACAAAATTGAACATGAAAATAATTGTCTGGTATGAAACAGGAATGGACATTAAAATTGTTCGTAATAATGTTTCACAAGACAAAATATTACCAGTTAGGGATGTGACACTGATCATAAACATTCATTTGAGAAATAAATTATTGTACTGTAGCAATTATATTTTAATTGGCAAATGTAGTCCGGGTCGACAGGACCAGCGAATGGGGGGTAAACTTCGATATGGTGCGGACTGTATAAAAAATGAGGGATGTGAGATATATTATGTTAAGATCAGCTTTAGAGACACACTGTGAGCACAAAATAATAAACTTTTAAATAGGAAGAAATGTGATTTGGTACCTTCCTTTTTACTGAAGTGATGTCTAGTAGACCGTTGACGCACTTGATGTTTGCTGGCCAGCTTTCGCGTACGCGACCGGTAGTTGCACCAAGAACAGTTTGAATACAGTTTTTAACTATTCAGTTCACTTTTTTGTTAGGTGTGTCACAAATAAATACATAAGATAAACATACGATAATATAAGTTCAATTTATATGCCACAAATAGAGTAGGGGAATATTATAATACAAAACTAGGGAAAATGGCGAGAACATGATGCCGGGTTGAAGAGTACATGAGGAATGGGGGGAATTGCCAGACATCACGTGACAGGGCAAGGGTCAGAACAAAATATGAATGAAGTCTGGATTCACCTAGGTTGCGTAGATGCTTGAATACGGAACACCTCCGTTAATACAATCATAATTATATGATGTAATATTGAACTTTAATAAATACACATATAATTGTATTTTTAATAAGCATTTAAAACGTTTTATAGCAGCTAGTTTTAACACTGAAACCTCCATTTCAAACCTCCATATCAAACTCGACCCACTTTTATCTAAATTTTTGTGAAAATACGCGTGACTGTGTTACAATCTTAAATTGTTAATAGTGAGAGTGTAAAGTAGTAATATATATACATATATTATTGTTTAATTCTGAAGAAAATCTTTTGTTATAATTTATAATAAACACATATCACACATCATAATTGCTTGGTAAGGCAAGTGATCATAGAGTTGACCTTAAAATCTGAAGGTTGCTAGTTCGAATCCAAGCAATATCATTACAAGACACAGGTGCCAACTGTGCTGTTCCCTCACAAACACAAGTAAAAAAAAAAAAAAATGTAACGGAGTAGACAGATAAACACATAAAACCATCAAAATATACATTAGCAATTTATTTTCCCCTCAACGGGGCTAGATAATGAAAAAGAACTAAAACATTTTCGGCTTTGTTCGATATACAAAAGTTTTGAAGTTTTAAAAATAAATATTGTTTAGAATTATAAACTCCTAACAAGTCTGAACACTTTACGGTGAGATATGCAGCTTAAATAATTAGTAGTCATTTCCAAAGTTTTGTTTAAAACAAATCTTAATTTTATTATGTTTATGAACATTCTTTTTGATTTTGGAACAGTGAAAAATGCATGCATTTATTTAGGTTGCAAAAAAAGGTGATTTGAAGCCAGGTTTAGTACTTATTCATTATACTTGGTTTGGAAACTATAAGCATCATATTTATTTTTTATAAATTTCAAATCGATATTAATCATCATAGTTGGTTTCTTTCTGCAGGCTGAACTTGTAAAATTCAAGAAAAAATACGACACGTCTCACATCAAAAACTCTGAACCAGTTCATATATGGGTTATAGGTAAGAATCTGTATAAAACACAATCTAAATTCACAAATACATCATACATCATAGCCTGAGATAACATTATGAACACCTACAATCACAATTTGATTTGTATGAGCACTTCTTTATCATTTAAGCTACACAACTAGACAAAATTACTTGTGATAATAAAATAGAATTGAGGCTGCAAGGCCATTTTAACACTAACGGACCAAAGAGAATACTGTATAACAAATGTTCCAAGTGGTAATATATATGCGCTTTATAAGTGTGTAGGCCTAACTATAAAAATTAACAAGTTTAGTATAAATTTTAGGATACGTGGAAAAACACAACCGTGTATTTCGGTGAACTTGGTTATAAATTTGGTTTATACATTTTCTAAGGTCCAGTGATTGATGCTGCTCTAGACCTGGGCGATCTGATAGCCAACAAACATGGCTACCAGGCTATCAGTGAGAAGTCTCTGTTAGAGGCCGAGGCCGCCACAGACAGCGACAGAGGCCGAGTGGTTAAAGCCATCTTGGAAGATAACGGCCTTGTGTCCATGGTATGGCTTAACATCCTTATTATTATTTTACCTAGCCAAGTTGATAATATTCTCATAGATATATAGGGAACGCATTAAAATCAGCTGATCAATAATTACATCTGACTATTTAAATATCGACGAAATTAGATTAGAAATCCCAAAAAGTTTGATATGATATCGTTCTCAAGCACTCACGGATCGAGGGTTAAAAATTGTTTCTTTGATGAAATACTTCCTCCAATGTGTTTTATGAATACTTTCTGATGCAGCTAATGTTTCTGCGAAGACTAAAAAAAGTCCGAAAATTGTCCAGCGAATAAGTAACACAAGCCCTAAACCGATGCATCTAAATAAAACTAAATGTGTATGAAAATTGTTAAATTTTTCTTACTTAACCCCTTTGTCTATTTTACGACCGGTTACCTCTTAGCCATATTTTCTACCTTACTGTTTATGATGTTTCATAGTTTTTTTCCATTCCAGAACATGCAAAGTATACAATATTTGAAAATAGGCTTATATAAGTACACTCAAAGAAAATTTGAATATTATTAATTATATAAGGATGAAAATAAAAAATTTTTGCATATCTTTATTTGACCTTCCTACATTACTTTGAAATGTAATGTAATCCTTTGGCCATACCGTGGGAACCAGTGTTAAGGCCAAATGGGTGTGACGTATAAGCGGATGTTACTAGTACGGCCGTCACGGTTTTTTTTTTTTAGTGTGTGCGTGCGAGTGTGTTCAGCCCGAACAGCTACCCGACAACTATAAACACCATAGAGACTCTAAAGCTAGAATATTAAACGAAAGTTCACAACAATGCAACTCTGAGATACGCGGTGGCAAATACCCTAATAGGATTACAACTGTATGAGAGCAGACAAGTTTATGTTTAAAAGAAGAGTACAGTATTATATTATTTTTTAAATACATTTTAAATATGCAGTTTTTGAGATTGGGGTTTGCAATACGTTAAAAACTAATTACTGTAAATTATTTGCGGAAATGTAATTTCATAAAACAAATAATGAAAAAGTTGAGATTATCTAGGCTTTTATAAACCTGGTATTTTATTTCAGATTTTAGATTCATGCGTTTTAAAAAAAAAAAAAAACATTTTGCAGAACGTAAATGTATTAAATAATTCTTAAAAACATTCCTAATTGACTATTTAGAAGTTATTTAAACCCATTGTTCGTCTTAATGCAGCAAAAACAGCCGTTGTTGTACATACCTTGCGGGTCTATTTCTCTAGTGGGGCCTTGGTCTAAAGTAGCGTATTTACTCTCTAGAGAGTAAAAATATGCTGTTGTAAACAGTTAAAAAAATTTCGATTGTGGTAATCAAATCGGTCAAAATTATTTGTCGATTGATTTATTAGGTAAAGTTTTAGCCTATTGCTGTCGATCGCTCGACATATCGATGGTATATAGTAATATACGATATGATTGATTCACTTACTAAACAGCTGCTTATTTGCATTAGCAGAAGTGATAACAAGCTGGAAGTGGTTATGAGACGTTATCTTTACATAAAAATGATTTCGTTTTCTAGCTTAGTTTGTTAATTAATGATGCAAAATGAAGAAAAATATAGTTACCACACGGGCAAAAATTGTCCTTTTAACCACCACTCATTTTCTGACATCGGCTTCGCCTCGATCGTAAAACTTGACCTCGGGTCAAAAAGAGTCATTTTAGGCCCTAGTGATGACATCTACTATTCATTCCAACAAGCATTTGACCATTTTACATCTCTTAATGTGTCCACTTCTCATAAAAGAATTAACCAATCTTTATTATAACACTTCTTAGCTATTATGTATCATCGTTGTAACTATATTCTAGATAGTACTCGTAGAATGAGCCTTAAGCTTTAAACCCTTTCTGAAACCAAATGTAAATCTTTTTATAAATACAAATACATAACATGATTAATTTTTCATTCTAAAACTAGCTTTAGAAGGTATAACCATAGACTAACCAACACAGTTGTGTTTATCAATATTATAGCAAGCTCAGATAAGAACACATATTTAATTTGATACTTGATATGCAGAACAAGAATCGACACATTGAGCCTGCTCGTTTTACAGCACATTTGTTTTCCAGAGTATATTGGAGGACCTGATCATAGAGTCACTACTGGCTCGCTCTCCGGGACTCAAAGGGGTTGTATTCTCCGACATTCCCCGCTGCAAGTGCCAGGCTAAGATGCTCAAGAGAATCGTAACCAAACTTTGTATTCATTTAGAGACTTAAATGATTATAAAGAATTATTTTAGCATGACTTGAAATTAGTTAGATATCATAACTTAAAATAATAGTTTTGGTTTCTGTTCTCTGGTAAGTATTAGCATACCCAGGATATCCTTAAAACGCAGAAAAGACTTACTTTGGGGTTGGTTTCAGGATTTAAGTATGAAATTTATCCACCATTTCTATGCAACATGAGTTGAAACTTTACCAATGCAAGAGATATATGATAGTCTAAAGAATAATACAATAGATTAAAGAAAGGTTCAGAAATTGTATGATTATATTTGTTCAGTGATTAATGCACAAAATACATTTAAGAAAACATGAGACGTAAAATTGCTATTTACTATTTTATTATGTCTTTTGATGCCTCCAAACATTCAACACACTAATACCCAGCAAATTTTCAAATAGACCCAAAATTTAGTGTTATACCTTTGCATTTTGAGATACCAACATCGTGTAACAATACGTTTTTTTGGATAACATGTTTCCAATTCATTTGAATAAGAATATACGAAGACACCGAACAGTTAACAGATTATTAGAATAACCTAAACAAAAAATGATGCCACATGCACCCTTGTTAAATTAAAAATATATAAAAAATTATAATACTAATAGATTTGCAATTTTTTTTAAAGAAAATTAGGTGAGCATGTTGCCACATGTAAAAAGAATAAATATCACTGTTAGCCCCACAATAATATTGAAACCTTTTTTACCGCGGCAGATTTTTCTGAAGTAGAGATCCTATGAAATGTCCAACAAAATGTCAGTTTTCTCTGGCCACAACATGTACAAGCTTGTTAGAGGGATTAGTAATCCAAAGCGTCAGCTCGATTGACAGCTGATTCGCAGAAGCTGTTTGTTTTTTGTGACAGTCAAGTGTCTACAACAGTAATTGCTTACCACTGGCTGCAGCTTTCGAGATACATTTTTGAATAAATCTAGAGACACAATGTTTATTTTTTTGATTAAACAGACCATAATAGAATTAGTAATAAATTTGGTATGAATTTTTATACTAAGAATAATTCTTTTATATAGATTAGTTTTTTATAGATTGGACGTAAAAAAATCTTTGCTGTTATACCAACCAAAACTTGATTTTTGCCTTGTGATAACATGTGCTAAACTATAACTACATTTAGTTCAACGTAACCTAACCCAACTTAACAAATAACTGACACCTAAAACCTTAACACAGTACTGTACTTTCAGGTGGGGTCAGTTTCTCTGGTCATATACATGAGATGGTCGGAGGACGGCCTCAAATCAGCCTTGAAGTTACAGAATGACGAGAAGGCTTTCGCCAAAAGTATGGAGGATTTTAACAAACACACACTTCCACTCGCCACTCAAAAACGGTCATTTACTGTAAGTTCGTGAAGTGACTTTTAAATTTTGAAAATGTATAGGGGTGGTTATCACTTATGTCAATATTGTGATCGTTACAATTTACTTCCTCAATTGATTTAAGTAATTGAGACTAGACATTCTTTACAAATTTTCAATACTGTTCAAATTGAGAATTAACACTAGTTCTACCTCTACACACTAAAAATATAAATTTGGAAAGCAAGAAAAATATCTAAAATCAATTATGTTCTCTGAACCAGACCACAAACCACTGAAGTAATAACTCAGCCACGTGGAGACATATGTTGTGACTTTAGTTGAGAATCGTGCCAGGAATGTCAACTAAGGTGTTGGCTCTGATAGAAATAGGAAATCATTATTAATTCAGGGAAAAATATAAAGCTTACATTACCTATGTACGTTTCAATGATCGTTGTTAGCAGCCTTGACAACATTGGAGATTTTGTTTTGTACCCGAAACAAAATTAGTGATTTGTCTTAAAAGGTATAAAATTATAATATTAAAATCTCGTGATATTTTACAGTACTGACAATGATTTTACAACGATCAGTTGAGATTAAAATATCTGTATACCTCATAGGCCTACCTATGTATTACCATATACCCTACTGATCCCATGGCCATTGTGAAAAACTCCCAAGACAGTTAATTTCTTAGAAATCAGCTGGTATAGCGAAAAAAGAGTTTTTAAATATATGCAGTGTTTTAAAGCTCATTAAACATTTTCATAAGAGAAAATACACTAACGGTCGTGTCAGTATTTCTAAATTCCCACTAAGCTGCATGGCATTCAAATAGATTTTATGTTAATATAATATGTATCTGTTCAGGTTGAAGGTGATGCGGGCCCTGCTGCGTGTTTGGCTGCATGTTCTGACATGCTATGCAGAGTCTCGTTAGTCGGCTGTTAACAAGATGATATCTCTGAAATAATATTAACCATTTAGGCTCAATGATTGCTGACAGATACCTTCTTACAAGTTTTACCTTACGAATGTTTCGATTGTTTTTATTTATTTGCTGTAATAAATGTGATTACTAAAAATTTTTATGTTTTTATATTTAACACATTTCTCATAGGAATTAATCACAAAGGAATGGATTTAATGACAACGTGTATGCTCTTACTAGCCTAGAAAACTCAGAGTTAAATAACGATATTTTTTTAAAATTTGATTGCATAGTTAGACAGCATATTTGCCAACTGTGGAAGAAAAAACAAATTTAATAGCATTGTAAATACTGTACACGGTCCATGCGTTAAACTCATTTAACAACTGAATTAATGAAACATGGTATTTTTATTTCATATAATAACCGTATATTGTTTTTTAAAATATTATATTTAATTGTAATGAACGCTCCATGTTTCCTAAAATAACATATTTGCACTGCAATAACTGATACATACTTTCGGGTATGGCGGGTGTGTATTAATTTAAATTGAAATAATATGACACCACACATAAATGAACGAAATCAAATTTCTTTTAGGTAGAGTGACAACAAATTCCAACAAAGTCAATCAATAAATATTTGAAATTTTAATGGTTAAAATTTACACTAATCTGTTTAGGACGCGTAATCAAAAGAAATGAAAGCATATAATTGTTTTAGTCTATTTATTTATTCCTCCCTCAGAATTATTTTTAAATTGTATCCTCTCTCCAAACGATTCGTATGCAAATAACCATAACAGATTATCTTCCAGGCCTTTGTAGTATCCGGACGTTTTAGTACCCATTAGGCAAGTGAGTGTCCCTAAAATGTTCTCTGTTCATAACTGTTGGGATACATTCACATTAGTTATATACATTGTTTATAGTAAAGTAGCTGACATTCCATGATTGATTAAGACCCGCTTAATCTATCAGTTAACACGTTTCCATAACGGAATTCCTTAGGTACCTCTTGTATATTATGAAACCATTTGTGAATTTTATACTGTTACACCTTAACGCAATCGTACGTTTTACCATGGCTATTAAAATCATATCGTAAAAGTGGTATGTAGGGTTTTGAGATTGTGAAGGAATATGTTTTTCATTTACTGTATCTAACACACCTCAAAACTGATTCTCAGTTCAATGAAATCATGTATACGAATTAAACTTTTACTACATTATGTATTTTTACTGTAAAGTTCAATGATTATTCCGTTGCTGTTTCCTGTTTTATATTGGCCATTAAAATACTTACTTTAGTTATGATTGGGTAATGATTGTTGTCTTATAGAATGAGTACATTTTGTGATACTAAAAAAACAAATGGAATACTACAATGGTGATACATAAACATAATTCTAAGCCCACCTAAACATATTTTAGCCAACTTAAATAAGTAATTTTGTTTCATAATACATTGATTTTGTCCTTGAAACTCTCCTTACTAAAATCAAAATGTTGGAAACGACCTCCCAATTCTAACGTTGCTAGTTCTTTGGCACAGACTGTGATGATAACCATCTACTTGGCTGAGCAAGTGCATAAGGTTGTTGTATTGGACGACTCTGACAACGCATCTACATTGAAACTGCTTGCGTTCAGATAAACTGCTGATGGCAGACAACTTTCATAAAAATAAACCAACCACTGCCACAGAAAAAATTTTAAGTCACACAAATCGTATATTTAACAGATTTTATAGAAACAACAATAGAACAAATTTTGTTATTCTACTAAAAAGGGGTAACACACAGTAGCTCCATAAAACCCCAGTTAATTTTCGATGGTGAAAATTCCGCAGTAATTAAAGTTTAAATTAAATTATAACATAGCTGTTGTTTTCGTAATATGTGAATGATAGTTTACTTTTAGATAATGGTAATATGGAAAAGAGTTTGCATTTGCTAAACAAATAGCGAGGAATTCATTAAATTATGTTAATCTCTAGGCAAAATTATGTTATGTTATGTTAATCTTAACAAGTTAAGAGTTATTAAGTAAGTAATTAAGTTAACAATATCATTAGTAACATCTATCATTCAGTACCTTCTAAATATATATCTTATTCGCAGTCCTTGTTTCAGAGATTTTTGTGGAATTTAGATAAAAGTTATACATTATTACTAGAGGTTAAAATACCTTATAATCCGTCAGTGTGATCAAAAAGTCACCGATGAAAGGCGACCGGTTTCAACCCATCAAAGGGGTCATCATCAGGCGTTGAATGGACACATAATTACTCCGAAGAGGTCGTCATAAAGTCAATAAATACAAAAGTTATACAATCGTCATAAATATAAAGTATTATTAGAAATTAAGTATTGGAGGATGTGTGCACGTTATCATTGAAAGCCAAGCTTACGTTTGAAAGAATCGGTTAACTATTTTAAAATATGCTATTATATTTCAGTTGTGTATTATTCATACTAGGGCAGATAGTAATACAGTTCAGTACCCTACAACTAACTTAGTTATCCAAACCCTAATAGGTAACCTGCATCTGACATTATCTCTTCTAATTAATTGTCTCTAGGAAAGGGACTCAAGCATGATACAGTTGACTCATACAGTACAATTTACATTTTTGGAGTGATGCAGTAAAACAATTATGCACATCTGGATAGATGTAACGGTTTTTATGGTTATGCTAAACTATAAGAGCTCGCTTAAATGCC